GGAATCGGAGACGTCGTCGGAGCGGTCGCCGGCGTGGTGGGGTGGTGGGTTGTTTTGTTATTTTTTAAATAGGGTAAAGATAAAGTAGGGAAAGTGAATTTTTCCCATAAATGAATTCTAGCCCCTTTTCGACATCATTTACTTTAAGTTAATTTATTTCTCATACATATTTTCAACCACATATCACATCCAAAACTTTCCTTAGTGTTAAACCATACATTCTCTAAAAATTACTATTCAATATTTTTTAAAATTTGAAGGACGTCAAACATGGGCATAATCTAAGGAATTAACGAATAACTAATTTGTAGCACAATGGTCATGTGCAAGATAACTTTGAGTCATCCTATATATATTTTTATAAAAACATTATAAGAATTATTTCTAGAGTAAAAAAGTTCTTCAAATTCATACTCTAAGGTTCAATTTAACAAGGTTTATGATTACCATAACTCTCCAATTTATTTATCTTTTACTAAAAAGGGAAGTTACAAGAAGAGGAATGTTGCCTTTTTAACCAATTTCTCCTCAAATTTGAATTTCACTTTTCGTCTCTCCAAAATTGTGTTAGTTTTAACTTATTTGCAACAAGAAAAACAAGGATTTTATTACTACAAGTTTGGTTATTTAAGGCAAAGAAATTTTTTTCTTTTTTTATATCAAGAATCGGGGTAGGTAGTGCAAGTTGATTTTCTCTGTTAATGTCTACATATATTTTATGTGTATAAATGTAATTGCAAGTTATGAATCATGATGGTTAAAGTTTCATGGCCATAATCGATTTCTACGAGTCCAAGGGATTATTCGGAATCAATGATTTCACCGTTAATTCAAATATGTAAAAATGTCTATAGGATGAAGTTTTTATATTTTATATGTGAATATGCAAATTTGTTTAAAGGGGATTGTACCTATAATTTCTACAAGGCTCTATGCCCACTCTTACTCTATGAAAATTTTCAAATCGGGAAAGAGTCGTAGATGGGTGGAGATTGTATGAATTGTGGATAAACCAAGGAGATGAAAATCAAATCAAAGTCCAAGATTTCCATGTTTAGAATTTATTTTAATGTTGTTTTAAATTTTAGACTAGTCTGTGTTTTGAGTTTGTACTTTATTTGGGAATGAAATTTGATTTTATATAACTTTATGAATTCATGTTTATTAAATGATATTAGCATAAGTTTTGGCATGAAAATGTGATTGGGTGTGTAGTTTTATTATTGTAAAAACTTAAAAGTAGAAATTTTAGCTTTCTATCAGATTTTCAAACTATCACCCGAACAGAATTCTACAAATTTTTGGATGAGACCAATGGAGTTTGAAAGCAATATGAGTCATCAGTCCATTGGCTTTAGAATCAAGTCATTTGAAGGTCGGCAATAAGTTATGCCCTTTTCAGGTT